GGCCGCGCCTGGGACGCGCTGTGGGGCGAGGAAAGTCATCCCCCAGGCCGCGCCTGGGACGCGCTGTGGGGCGAGAAAAGTCATCCCCCAGTCATCCCCCGGGGGTGGTGAACTCAGCCAAATAGGGCGCATAACTTTCATCCCCCATGCGTTGTAATCTGGTTAACGCCCCGGGGGATGAGTATTCAACCTACTTGAATAACAGTGCGGCTGCTGCGGCGCTGCGGCACGTCCGCAGCCCGAGCCGAGCTAGACCGGCTCTGCTGGTGGCAATCCACCTTGGCTGGTGGCAAATGAGACACATCAACGATTTCTCTCGTGTAATTTGGCAGGCTTCTTGAGCTGGGACCGGCACGTCATTCTGGGATCCTGGGAGCGAGCTGAAGCGTACACGAGCGACATATTAGACGTGAGTAGAGGCGTGGGGGAATTACCACCGCTCCACTGTCAGCCTCGCGCGCCGGGTGGGTTGCCTGTCAACACGGCTGACGCCCGAGCAACGCGACCACATCGCGATAACTTTTGCTGCCGCTTCGCCAGGATCTCAACCACTGGGTGACGGGTTGGATGGAGTGGTCCCTGGTGCTCGACATGCAAGGCGGGCCCACCTGGTCCGGCAACTACGTGGACGCGTCCATCCTCGTCAACGCCGAGGAGGACGAGTTCGTCAAGCAGCCGTCCTACTACGCCATGGGCCACTTCACGAAGTTCCTCCCGCCCGGCTCGGTGTGCGTCCGGGTGAACAAGGATCAGAGCGGCGGGGTGAGGAACGTCGCCTTCCTCCGGCCCGACAACGGCACCGTGGTCGTCCTCTACAACCCGTGAGTAAACAGAGCGGGACACTTGAGTACATACTGTATGCACACTGCGACTCTGACACCACAATTAAAACGGCCCTGTTTTTTAGATCGGAAGATGCAAAGGTTGTGAACGTGCACGACGTGTCCAAGGGATATTTGGCCGTCAAATTGGCTCCCCGATCCATCAATACCCTCCTGTACTGGTAAAAGACAAAATAAAACAGAAACAAAACTCGCTTCAACAGTTTTTAATTATTCTATGACTTCACACCTCTTTCTGAATCACAACCAGTATTAAATGTATAAAATCTCTATGCGTCAATAATATATTATATGACTAAAACTTATATAATAACAAGATTTGAAACAGCCTTCGGTATTAGTTAGCTCCATCAGCCTCACATTATTCACATTGAATCTTGACAGAAACAGTACGAAAAATTGTCTTGTTGTCAGTCTCCTAACATCGACTATAAACATAAACTACTCCTCGTCCATCTCTACAGCTCACGGCTGTAGAGACCATCATGGTTAAAATAGGTGAGCAATTGTTTCCACTAAAGTCAACTTACAAACATAAACCACTCATTTTCAATTCGTCAATTATACAAAATTCGGAACAAATTAAAAGAGCCATCAACTCTCTTCTACTTCAACGGCAAGGCACACTGGTAACTGGTCAGTTCGCAGTAAATTAAATGAAATCTGCGAATAGGCTCTGCAACTCTGATTTGGCCAAGAAGGCTCATCAACAGTTTAAAAACCTTCAATAAATTAATCAACTTTTCCGGGTTTTCAGTCGTCGTCAGTCCCGTCCACTTCAGCCGGCCCAGAGACCGGCACGGCGACCGGCGCGGCGGGGAGGGGTGGCTGTGGGGAGGGCGACAGCGCCCGCGGGGAAGGCAGAGAGACGCCGACGGCCCGAGCCAGGTCGCGGAGGTGCTGCGTCCAGGCGCGCGCGATCACTCCCTGCTGGGGCGACAAAAGGGCGTCCGCCATCACGCCCAAGCTGACCATCGAGTCGACTGTGAGCAGCGTCAGCGACAGGCCTGCGGAGCAGAGGGACGTGTGAGCAGCTGAGCACAGCTGAGCTGAGCACAGCGGCCTGCAGAAGACAACGACCCTCGGGATACTCACTGACGTTGGCCTGAGGCGGCCGCCAGTACATGAGGGACTGCAGCGGGTGGCCCCACAGCTTGCCGGCGGGGTGGTCGGGCCGGAGCGAGGCCACCTCGGTGAGCGCCACGGCGTAGCGCCGCGACAGGAAGTTGAGGTGCAGCCGCACGAGCAGCTGCGGCAGCAGCCGCGTCAGCAGCCCGCGCTCCAGCTGCCAGGACGACAGCACCCACAGCGCGGCCTGGCGCCGCCGCACCCGCGCCATGCGCGCGCGCACCTCGTGCACCAGCTGCACGGGGTCCTTGACGGCGTCCGCCACGGGCAGGGCGATGCAGGCCAGGCCGCCAGAGCCCGACTGCGCAGGCCCGCCCACCAGCTCCTCCAGGAGGCAGTAGCGCGCCGTCGTCAGGACATTCTCGGGCACGGCCAGCCCATGCGAGCGGAAGTACTCGCGCAGCGCGCCGCTCAGCGCCGACAGGCACACCTGGGGGCAGGGGAAAGCACGCCGTCAATCGCGTCCTGCAAGGCGGCAGCCGAGGGATCCGCGGCCGGCAGGATAACTCACTTCACTTGACGAAGCGCCCGTGGCATCGGCCATCTGCTGGATGAGATCCTGGGGGAAGGGGTCGGACCACGCCACTACCTTCCTGCCGCACAGGGACACGGTCTGGAAGTGGTGCGGGGGCTGGTTGCGGTTGGACAGCAGCAGGTCTTCGACCAGCAGGCGCGGCGCGCGGAACACAGTCTCCGCCAGGCGCATCGCCTCGTGCAGCGACTGCCACCAGAGGCGCAGGTACGGCGACCGGGACATGAGCGACTCTGCAACATAGAGAGCGGAAATACGGTGAGCTAAGCCGTCCCGCCGAGCAGGCGCTTGCGCCGGGGTGCCCCACACCTGTACTTACCCGTGTACCGACCGCGGTACTTGGTGAGCAGCGCTGCCTCCAGGGCGAGCACCAACACGATCCTGAGCGCCATGCTGCCGGCTCCGCGCCACAGGCGGTAACCGAAGAGGGCGGCGGAAAGGGCGAGGACGGGCGGCGACACGGCCAGGGTGAGGGTGCGCCACAGGGCGCCGCCCACGGCTGCGCGCCACGCGGCCGAGGACACGCCGCGGCGGGCGGCCTGCGCGCGCACCGCGCCCAGAGCGCCGTCCCACCGGCCGCCGCGCCACACCTCTGGCACGGCGGACACCACGGCGATGAGCAGCGCCATGGAGAGGCCCAGGAGCGTGGGGTTGGTGAGCACCTGCAGCGAGAAGGCGGACATGAAGGAGCCGGTGAGGCCAGACGCACGCGAGCCGCGAGCCATGTATCGCACGGCCAGGCGAGGCGCTAGATAGATACTTGCCTTGGGGTTCTCGAGCGGATCGTACACGGCAATCAGCTCGTTCCAGTGGTTGGCGACGGACTCGCCCAGCCGCTCGTACAGTGCCGGGATGGCCACCGGAGCTTCCAGCATGCCTTCCAGGAGGTGGCCAGCCGGAGTCACGTCAGCCTGCAAAAAGGAGAACGTCACCGGCCGGTGAGACAAGCGGCCATCGGCCCGGACCGATAAGCGCATACGCGGCCCGCACCGAGACTCACCACGTGCGAGAAGTCGCTGTGCTGCCGGGTGAGCTGCAGGAGGTCGGTGAGCTTGAGGCCGTCCTCCGACAGCAGCAGGTGGTGCATGCGGATGAGCACGAAGTAGCGGTCAGCCGACGGCATGGGGATGAGGGCGATCTGCCAGGGCGGCAGCTCCGGCACCAGGTACTTGGACACCAGGTCGCTCACCACCTCCTGGATGTTGTTGTCGGTAACGGGGCGGCCGCGGAAGGCGGCGCTGCACAGCAGCAGCTGCTTGTCGAGCTGGAAGTGCACCGCGTCGTCGCGCTTCCAGGCGTACCGGCCCCAGCGCTGGCTCAGCGGCGTGCGCAGGTGCGGGAAGCGCAGCCGGCCGTCCGGGTGGCGCTGGTCCAGGATGTCGCGGTGCAGCGAGTCCATGACGCGGCGCGGGTCGCACGCGCCCTGCACCGTCAGCAGCAGCGCGATCACGCCCTGGTTGCGGATCGTGTCCACGGCCGTGCGCACCGTCGTGTTGCGGACGAACTCGAGCTGCGGGTAGCGCCGCTCCAGGACGCCGAGCCAGGCCGTTCGCACCCGCGACACCACTGCATGCGGGGCAAGCGGAAAGGGTTAGAGAGAGTCCACGTCAGTCCTCGCCAAGGGCAACCTCGGGTATAGGCAGGAGACGTGTCAGAGTCCGAAAATTTTCCAGAAAACATCGGAAAAAATTGAAACATTTTCAGAAAATTAAAACAGAATCTTTTTGAAAAATCTTGAAAAATTTTCTTCAAATATACATTGTTGGAAAGTTAAAATCCCTTAGGTGGCTCACCTGAGTACATGAGCAGCAGTGCCGGCAGCAGCAGCAACACCGCCCCGAAGGCCATGGCGGTGACGGTGAAGGAGAGCGCCCACCGGCACCAGGCCTCCACGCTCCAGGCGCCATCGTCCACCGTGGGGCCCGGGCCCACGGCGGGACCCGCTCCACCTCTGGAACACAAACAAGACCACTGTGACCGAGGACGACAACACCTCAGGGGCACAGGGGGCGAAATCAGGACAACGATAAGCAGAGCGGACGTCGGACGTGCGATAGAGTCCGGCCTTCCCCCGCCCCACCCACCCAGCTCTCCTCCTGCCCCGCGCAACACTCTTGGGCGAGGTGCAACAGTGCATCGCGACACAAAGAGATGCCCCCGCGGCCGCCTGCTTGGCACGGTGCGCTCTCAGCGCCCCCCGGCCCCCGGCGTTGGCGCTCGCATGAGAATGTATTATTCCGACACATGTCCATGTGTGCGCTCCACTCGCGCGGTGACGGGACGGGACGCGACGCGGCGGGGCGGGCTGCCAAACGCTCTCGCTTTCCCTGCAAACAATGGACCTGCGGCGCGACTGCGCGTCATATGGGCCCGGTCACCCCGTCCTGCATGGAGTGCTTCACTCGAAAAAAATCAGTTGATGTGTACTGTACACGCTCCAAAGAAAATAATCAAACATCAATTACAAAAGAAGAAAAATGAGCAAAAAAATTCCAGAAAAAAATCCAGAATGCTTGAATTTATAGTGAAGTTACACATCGACCCCACCGAACGGTGCGAATCCCACAGAAGCAGGCGTGCGCGTGCAGGGACGTGCGGCCCTCCCCGGCGTCCGGTCCTTCCCCGGGAAAGATGGAAGGGACGACACCGTGAGAAAGTGGGGCGGGGAGGCTGCGGCCGAGCCAATACAAATATTGAGGCTTAATATCGGTGGTGTGCGGCCGCAGTCCGGTCCGGTCGCCGCTCCTCCGCGCCGCCGCCCCCCGCAAAGGCGGTGAAAGTCCACCGACAGACAAACTGCCACTGATATCCGCCAACAGCAGCGTATATGCGGCCGCCTCCTTCAAGAGGCCCCCAGACAAACACGCCGTACGCATTTGTTTGCCGCCGGGCCGCGCCCCTCCTCAAACTCTTGCGCCGCCGCCGCGCCTCGCACCCTGACTCTAACTCATGCGAACGCCTTCGTCCTCTGAATGAGCGCAAATGAATGGCCCGCCAGGCGTGCGTGGTGGAATGCGCGTCCCGCGGGGAGCTGTTCGCACGTCGGCGGCGGACGCGGTGGTCCCGCGCGCGGCCGCGCGGTGCCCAGAAGAGTCTCCCCCTCGATGTCGCCGGGTCCGTTCGGATCGGCGATGGGGCCTTGGGCTCCATGGCACCACCCATTAGCACCATGCGGAACATAGCCCGTCCTCTTCCTCCTCCTCGCCCCCACCCCGGAGCTCCGGACCGGCCGGACCGGACGAGCCCCGCCGCTGCAGTGCGTCACGTTACGTGAGGGGACGGCCGGGGCGCGGCCGACTGCGCCAGCTGCGCCAGCCCGGCACCATTCAGCCAGAACGAATGTAAAACGCACGGCGTCCGCGCCGCTTAGCTTCCCGGTGCGGGATCGGGTCGGAATTTGTGAAAGTTCCGATCCGCGCGGACCAACCTCCGGGTTCTCTGTTAAACCAGCCCGTTCCACACACACGCATTCACACACGTGATGCCCTCGCGGTCCACCCGGGGGTCGCGCATACACACATACATACACATGCCGTACAGATAGCGACCTCCTGATAGGGAAGGCCGCAGTCCGCGCGGGCCACGGCCGGGGCGGCGCGCAAGTCCGCATTTAGCGACACGCGGGAGGCGTGGGAACGCATGTCGTCGCCGCCGCTGTCACAACATCCAGGACACGGCAGTTAGTCTCCATCGGGCATTGTGCGCCACTTGTGCCGAGGGGTCAGCGTTTCTGGAGCACGGCTGCTGCACACTGTCAGCCCCGCTGCAGCTGCGCGCCGCACCGGCACCGGGCCACAACAACAAACAAAGTCACGTCACCGTCACCCTACCTCCGTCTGAGGAGCTCCCGTCGCAGGCTCCTGCCCGCGCCGGCGCCGGCCCGAGAAGGCCCCCACCAAGGAGGGGCGGCCCGCGCCCAGCACGCCCAGGCGCGCACGGCCCAGGGCGGCCACGGCCACGATCGGCCGGCGCTGCACCACCACGTCGTCGTGGTCGCCATGCTGCTCCTCACATCTTCGCGCGGGGCGTGCGTGGCGCCTCGTGCGTCGCCGCGCTCGCTCCCTCCGGCCCACACTGACCAGCCGGGCCGAGCAGGCATGCCGCCAGTCCTCCTCCTATCCCGTTCGCTCGCGCCCCGCCGCGCCCCGCCCCGCCGCGCCCCCCGGTGCAGCAGCAGCCCGTCAGGCAGGCCCCTCTCTTCTTCGCTCCTCCTCGCGGCCGGGCCCGACCCGGCCCCGTGAGCTGCACGGAGTGACGGACGCCCACCGCGCTGGCCGCCGCATCGTCGGCGTGGCTGGGCGCGCTAGGGCTGTGTAGAGTCCGACTGATTCCGAAGAGCGCTCTCCTATACCTTCCGTATAGCTCCGTCCTTGTCGCACTCATGGGGTGTGGCGTGCAGGCTAGTGCAGGCGGGCGGCCCACAGGTCTGCGAGGCCATAGGGCGCCGTCGCACGGGCGCCACCCACGCCGTAGAAACGGGCGGACCCTCCCGCTGCCGCACTCCGACCTGCAGGTTTGGCAATGTCGTCCGGAATTTCCTTTACGGCGCCCGATAGCGGTGCGCGAGACGGAATCGTTCGGGCGGCGGCGCCCCGCCGGACTAGCGGACGCGGCAAAACGGGGCTCTGCTGACACACGCAAACGCTGGCTCGGGGAGAGGGCAGTGTACCAGCTGATCTGGCCGGCGAGTGCATTGCCGTCGCCGGCCCGCGCCCCGCCACTTGAGGATAATGAGCCACCCGGACGAGCTAGTACCAAGAAGTACACGCGTCAGCAGAGAAAGCGCAAAAAGCCACACACCGCCGATGGGACGGACTCCCCTCCTCCTCAACCTTGACCTGCGCGCCTTATTGGCCCCAATATGCAGAACTCGCACGCGCTGCTCGGTCACTGAGGGACCGTCAACCATCAATCAAGAAAGCGGTAATGCTCGTCAACAACGACGAGGCGCTGGTGGTGCTGCGCCCCATAGCCCACAGGCACTGTACCCAAATCACACACGCTTGTCGCTCTGCGGCGCCCCCCGTCCCCGTTCCCCCGCCGCAGCCCCGTGCGGCAGACACAAAGTAGAAGAATGATTAGCGAACACGGAATTGAACAAGTGGTAGTAATTGCGGGGCTCCGCTGGCGGGTCCGCGATACACCCAGGGCAGGTTATCGGTAACGCTTCCGACATCTGTTTGGCTTTCGCACTGCGCGCGAGTACCTACTGTACTTCCGGCCGTGGGTGCGCGCGCCCACCCAGGCGGCACTGGCAAGGCTACGGCAAAGGGTGGGCGGGGGATGCGCAGCGGGATGCGAAGCTACCCGTCACTTCGTAAGTAGTGTCTGGCACCGCGGCGACCCGCTTACACTTACCTCCTCGCCTGCATGCAGGGGCCGTAGGGGCCGGCGTCGTCCCCTCTCGTCCTTCGCCCAATTAAAAGGGCGTCGCGCAAAGGCACTGCGAAAAGCTAGTATCGGCACCGACACACCAAACTACTGACGGGGTCTCTTAGGTCTGCTTTATCACCTCCTGCCAGAGAGGAACAAAGTGCGAGTCGGGTGAATACAGACTTGTTCCCCGATCTGTATCGAGATTATGCTATCTCTTGGTCGACCCCAAGTCCGTACCGCCCAAGTTGGCGACGGTTCTACCCCCCCCCC